AATGTTATAGCAGTCCTATACATCAAGTTAATACTCATTTGAAAGAGGTCGTATCCATACATACGTTCGAATACGTTCGTACTTCAAATATTCGCTTTCTAGAATTCTTTCAGTTTTAGGAAACTTCTACTGCACAAAGAATTGAAAAATGGAATTTTCGAAAACTGCCTGAAGAAACTGGAGAATGAAAAAACCAAGAAAAACTGGACTTGTATTGAAAACTTCTTTGTTTTATGTTTTTTCTTTAAATTTTGAAGAGTTTTTATAATTGCGTTAAATACATAAAAGTTCAATTTGTCGTTGTTCTTTAATTTCAGTTGCATAATTTTTCACGGAATATTTAGTGAGGATCTGAGAAACACCAATGTTTCGCTGTAAATAGTATTTGAAATGCTGATGTAGAGGTTACCACTTTGTAAATAAGGTTTGGCTTAGCTGAACTCCCTTATACTGCCTAAATGTTTCTTGCTCAGTTGAATTACTCTTGTATATTGGCAGATGCAAGATGATTAAAAAATGTAAAGGAAAATATAGGGGGTGTCCGAAATCAGCAAACTTCGTAGTGGAATGTGATATAAAAGTGAGGCTTTGAGGTGCTACAAGGCGCTTCGAGAGGTAGATTAAAAGAGTTCTGATGACGTATATTATCATTTTTGATCGAATTTCGAGTAATATGTATTGCTACTCCAATGCGGAGCGCTACGACATGTATTTCATCTATGCGGCTATGGGCGGAAACAGATCAGCTGTTCAAAAGAGGTACTCTTCAATCCTTTTCTGCATTTCCTTTGAATATTTGCCCCGTTTCAACCACAGTTCCATAGATTAAATGCGTGCTGACGAGCTGCGCATTCGTGTAGCAGTGCATATCACTCAAGATCCTCACAAGAAATGACAATTTACGGCAGCAGATCTCTTTTAGCAAAGGCTGTTCTGTGCTTTTCAACGCATCATTTCTGCACACACATTTCATTACAAAATATCCTTATTTTTCTGCCCTCTCTCGGCCTTTGTATTTGTGCCAGATATTTTTGAATCACTCTGTATAAATTGATTTTTAATAATACACAACGATGAAACTCAAATAAAGATTAATTACTACTACTTGTTATCTATAAACAAAGCTCCAAATTTACCGCAAGATGTCCACCGCTACTTGCGAGATTAAAATTAACATAACGTATTTATGTTATCAGTACACAATCAGTTTTAGCCTTCAACGTTAGACTTCACATATAATTAGCTCTAAAATGTTAAAAGCTAAATAATTATTTACGAAACACCTTCTGGACAGAAAGAAAGAATTTTTCATCTAATACATAATCGAATCGTGTGGAAAAGAGATTATTAGCGTTGCCAAATCCACACTTTCTAAGTAAGATTTGAATTTGTTATTAAAATTTAACTTAATTTGCGTTCTAGTGAAGATTGATAAAAAGTAAAACGCGCAAAAAAGAGTTATCATAAAGCTAATTATTAATCAAAGCAGCGTTTCATGAATTGCTATTTTATCCTTTTTTAATCATCATCATTATTATTACATACCTTCCAGAAAGGAAATTTTTCATGCATGACTTAATGGATATGATATTCTGAGAAAAGTAAATTTAAAAAATAGAAAATATTCCTTGCGAGAAAAATTTCATTATTCAATGAATTGTTTTTATTTTCATGGGAAATAAAGGTAAAAAATATAAGCAGAAAAAAATATTAACTATCCTGCTTTATTCAAATTTTCAGATGATTCAAAAATTTCTATATTAGAAGATGATGGTATTCTTTCATACTTTTATACCAAATTTTCACGTCCTTAATGCATTATTAAATAAGCATATAACATAGCAGTGGTATATTCTAGGTTAAGAAAAAACAATATAGCTGCAACTGCAGCCTTGCTGTTTAAGGAAAGTAAGACATCAAAGCAAAGTCGCATGAATCAATGGATAAAAGAATGTGTGGAAAAAAGGATAATTCACAAAGTAAAGCATGGAAAAAAAGCACTAGTAATGTAATTGCGGCGAGTGATGTTTCATTCCAACTGAACGACATTACCTTTGAATGAAGCAAGTACTTTTTAAACTGCTTCGAAATGTATAGCACAAAAGAATTCATACTATCTCAGGCAAAGGAAAAGATGTAATCCCTTTGATAAGAATGTTTTTGAGCCTTTTATTTATTTTTTAATGTGTTTTTATATACACGGAGAAACGCTATTCCAAAAGAAAGTCATTCAAGATAGCACATTTATATCTTAAGAAACCTTTATTATAGACTAGTTGAAGTAACGGACGATGCCTGGGCTTTAAGCAGAATGAAGAAATTTCATTCAGGGGGATGGGCAAAGTTCTTTCGAAATCTCAGTTAGACAGTAATTTTCCTCCTCTCGAACATGAAATGTATTTCGTTCTTTATCTTTTTCTCGAATATGAAGTCAATACCATTCTATGAATAATATCTACCTTTTTGTCGAGAAGGAAAAAAACTCGTTGCTGAGAACTTCTCTAGTCAGTCCACATATTAATATTCGTTGTTCAATATTAACATTAGAAATTTTTCCTAAAAGAAAATTCATTTTTAGTATTATGCTAATTTAAATATTTCGCCCATGCATTAAATCAAACGTTTTGTGTTTTATTTTTAAATTACTGTAAACATTTAGTTGATATAATTATAGGGTCTTAGGTAACGTATAAAAAGATAAATTTCGTAATTTTTATATCATAATTCTTATAAAAGTATTTTTTATTTTTATTTCCTTGTACGAAGTAAAAAGAAAGTATTGTAATCGCGAAACGTTTCAGGCAGCATATTTTAACGAAAATATCCATTTTGACCGCTATCGAATGCAATTTAACGATGTTTTTGCGTGATATCTGTACGTAAGGACAGAATAAAAAGCTCGTTTCCTAAAAGAAAAATATATATATATATATATATAAAAACTGCTTTAAAATTAATTCTGAAGAGAATTTTTCGTGGCGTCTGTACGAACGTATGTACGTACGTACGTACGTATCTCGCATAACTCAAAAATGAGTAGCCTCAGAAAGTTGAAATTTTGTATATAGGACTGCTATAACATGTAGATGTGAACCTCGTATTTTGGTTGCACGCGGCCGCACCAAACGTATATAAATATATTTATATATATATCCACTCTGTTACCCGGCTCAGTGATCTCAGTTTCTGTACTCTTATATGTTTGTAAATTGTGCATTTTTTGCTTTAAAATGATTGAATTATGTTGTTTTTATCTTCCGGTTAAGGTTTTTATGCCTTTAGTAAATCTGTGTGCAATATTTTTAGAATTACTAACAATTTTAAAGTTGCTTAAGTGCCGCTAAGCCTTTTTACTTCCTTGTACGAAGTAAAAAGGAAGAATTGTAATCGCGAAAAGTTTCAGGCAGCATATTTCAACGAAAATATCCCATTTTGACCTCTTTCAAATGCAATTTAACAATGTATTTCCGTGATATATGTACCTAATGACAGAATAAAACACTCTTTTCCTTCAAAAAAAAAAAAATTTTAAAACTGCTTTAAAGTGAATTCTGAAGAGAATTTTTCGTGGCGTCTGTACGAACGTACGTACGTATCTCGCATAACTCAAAAACGAGTAGCCTCAGAACGTTGAAATTTTGTATATAGGACTGCTATAACATGTAGATGTGCACTGCATATTTTGGTTGCAATCGGCCGCACCAAACGTATATAAATATTTTTATATATATATCCACTCTGTTACCCGACTCAGTGATCTCAGTTTCTTAACTCTTATATGTTTGTAAAGTGTACATTTTTTGCTTTAAAAATGATTGAATTAAATTGTTTTTATCTTCCGGTTAAGGTTTTTATACCTTTAGTAAATTTGTATGTAATAATTTTAGAATTATCAACAATTTTAAAGTTGTTTAAATGCCGTTAAGCCTTTTTTTGATGGCGGCCATTGATTGTTTACATTTGAAACAGCAGACTAGTGGATTTGTTGCCAATCTAGAGAAACTTAGCTTCCAAACAACAAAGATAACGCCTTCATTTATTATTGCCAATTAATTCATGCCTAATCCTTTCTGGAATTTTTTCGAGGAAATAAGTGTTTAAGATTTACTTCGTAATTTTTAATATAGATATTTTGAGTTTTTATGTATTTTTGCCTTCTCGCGAGGTGAGAACTGAATTCAATGAATGAGAAATACTCAATCGTCTGTGAAAAACTGTTTCCTTTTTGTTTTGTTTGCTTAATTTCTTTTATACATCATTCTAGATTTATTATAGTATTTGAATAGAACATGTGGCAACGAGTAGATAATTCTATTCTTTAAATGATATAAATTTTGTGCATTATGAGTTATTATAATATGAACGAAATATAATACTGTTAAGTGAATCTAGCGCCAGAGTGTCGCTATGGTAAACAAATACTAGAGTGAATTTTAAAGAATGCATTTATTCTATTGTGGTTTATGCGCTGTCGGCGAAGTAGATTTAATTCAATCCAATAATTTTAAATGAAATAGAAGAAAAATGCCTATAATTTAATATTCCTTACAAAGAAGTCATGTGTCGTATACATAAGATTTTTTTATTTAAAAAATGATAAAATATGAATAAATGATAAAATATGAATATTTGCTTTTTCTTATTTTTGCTTATGGACCCTGTTCATATTTCCTAGTGCACCCGTGATTTTCTGCACTAAAATTTCCAAATTAATTTATTATTAAAAGGTTTTTCAATTTTTTTTAATACCGTTTTTTAAATTTTCAAAGGGTGACTGTAATTTAATTTGGTAATAGTAAACACTCCGTCTCCTTTCTATTTAGATGACATGAAAAGACTAAACAGGTATTTTCTTTATTTCTCTGATAGGCTTCATACTTAATTATTTCATTTTGTTAGTTATTAATGAGTATCTTTCAGATAAAAGCAAAATGGAAACGTGGAAAAAAATATTTACACTTTTTATAAATTTAATCACTACTTTCTTTTATTTGCAGGAAGAAGTTTACGAGAAGACGGCGAAAGATTTGGTGGAAAATGTCGTCGAAGGATACAATGGGACTGTCTTTGCGTATGGCGCCACGGGTAAGTTATTTAATTTTTGTATGCATCGACTTTTCTGCCATGAATAGCACTTTTCTGGTGATAAAATGATAATTCATGGTATCTATAAAATTTGAGCATCATTTTGAAAATATTTGAGAGATTATAAAACGGAGCTGAAAAACGGATTTAAGATAAAATTGACATTGATAAATACAAACAGTATTAAAATTCAAATTTTTGATGTAATAATTCAGTTGGCTATAACATATACAATAAAGTTGGCTATAACATATACAATAAATGTACATTTATGTAAAAGTAATAAGCAAAATAATTTAAAATTATTGTAGATAAATTTTAATACTATTAAAGGTAATCAGATTTCTGAAAAGATATCCAATCTTGATTTCTTCTTATGAGAATAATAATAATGTGAGAATAACATTAATTTACTTGATAAAATGCAAGTTTTGATGTAGTAAGCATTTGGATTTAATTTATATGCCTAACTGTGAAATTAAGAATTTAATTTATGAAAGTAATTTTGCATAGATCATTCTGAATTGAATCATCCGCCCCTGTCATCACAATCATCCTTCTCTGTAAAGAGTGGAAAGTTTATATCCCCCCTTTTTGTGTCGTCCTGCAACTCCTAATTAGATATGACATTTTGTCTAAAATAGATGCATAAATTAAAGATAACGGTTACGAAAAAAATCGGTTTGTTCTTTCTTTTTAACCGTATATTTATGAAGTATTTTGAACCTATATGTTAAAACCTTTGGACTAATACTGTAATGATTCAAAGGTATTTCTTCTGTTGTAATTACCAGTATACTAGTGTTTCGTTTTTTAATCGTACGCCCCAAACTCTCTTTCCGGCGATTGCACCGTAAAGTTGCAAGGAAATCATACTTTATAACTCATATGTGCTCAAAAAATCTCATAAGTGTAAATTTTTGTAGTTGATGGTTGAATGTTTTAAGTGCACGTTGTATCAACGTCTCTTGAATATTTCGAAAACCGTGATGAAATTGGCCAAAGTAAATAGTTTTCCGAAATCTGATTTCCGAAAAAGGATACGGTAGCAAAGTAAAACTCAACTCTCCCAATAATTGATCGACAGATAAATATTAGTTCATAATGCCATAACAAACGCATGCAAGAAATGCTTGCTTCCCGTGCAATTTTGTCACCTTGTAGAGTTCCTCACTTTGTAATTCTAAGTTAATGTTGGAAGTGAAGAATCTTAAGAACTGATAAGCGAATAATCGTTCAAGTTCGGGTGACAATAAACAACAAGATAGAAGGGTAACTATCCCTTTATTATTCCAATAAGCTTTAACAAAACTCCGCCTGGGAGTGTACAAACAAAGCCGACACTTGGGCTTGAACTTAAAGAGACTGAGAAATAATCTAAAACTAAGATTAACTAAGGAGATATAGACCGAAGCTATCAAGATTCTAATCGAGTTGGCCTCTTAACTCTAATTGGCTACGAAGCTTATCAAGGGCCTGAGTACTGGCCGAGCCGTAATAACAGCTTTGAGAGAGAGAGAGAGATAGAGAGTGCCAAAAGGCAGACGCGCGCAAATCAGAAACTCTGATTCTCTCTAACTCAGCAAAGTCGAACTTCGCGGTTTAAATATCCGCTCCTCCTCATTGAAGTATTCAGAAGTAATTCCAAAACTACGTTCTGGCCGGAAGTAGTAAGTTGAAGTTAAGAATTTGACAGGAAAGGAACTTTAACTTAAAATTTAACTGTTAATAAAATTAACATAATTCTTACAACCTTCTCGTCCATTAATTCAGCAATGGAAGTAAAGCAAGCTGTGTATTGCCCGATAAACGTTTTCAATGCTCTGGAGCCCCTAGAAATACCGCCTCATAATTTATCTTTAAATAAAGGATCTTCTGTCATATTATAACGTAGCATCGGTTTGGCAAAGCTGTGTAACAGAACAAAAGACATCGTCAAGAATCTATTCCTGAAAGTAATACAGGCTACCAATATACACTTTCATTCGAGATTGGTAAAATTTTGCACTTCGCATTTAAATAAAATTAGAGTAAAAACACTGTCTGCTTGAATTGTCTACCTTAAAAGTTTAGAAAGAAAGGACTACACCCATCCCCCTGAATGAAGCCTTTTCCCTCTGCGTAAATCCCGAGCAGCGTCGGGTCTGTAGCTAGTTTATTAATAAAATTATTTTTATTTATTTTAAAAACTGTTGACGACATACACATTTTCAGATTTGACAATACAATTGGCGTTTTCTTAAATATAAATTTATTTATATCCAGAAATTATTGTGTTTAAAACTCATCGGAATAGTGTGTGTTCCGGAAATTCCGGAAGTGTGAAAATAAAAAATTATGTTTCTGATAAAAAATGAGCAATAAAATAAAAATGTTTAGCAAATGAGACAGTATGGAATGCAAGCGGAAAGAACTGAAACTTTGAACACTTTTTCTGTACTATGATGTTTTGAGTAGAAAAATGTTTGCAGTTAAAAATTTATTAACAAATGAGACACTATCAAACCTCTGAACGCGTTCTAAAAACTGTTTAAAATTCTAATATAGTTTAGCTGCAAGCTGAAGGAAAATTTCTCAGTGTAAAACAGCTCGATAACTATATTTCTGTAATACTTGCATCAAATCGTAACGGGAAAATTTTTATGTTGTATGTATTTTAACGTGGAAATAAAGTTTTGTGTACGTTTTTAATGTATTATTAAATTAGGCAAAAATGTGCAATTTCTTTACTAATTTTTATATTTTCATTGGACATCATTTACTTAGTAACCCCCCCCCCAATTTTCTAACCAATCGAATAATTCTGTAAAATAAAAAGACAAACCAAAGTACCTGTGTACCGTCCAACGTTCAACCCTTGTGTTTAATCTCCAATGATTTTTTTCTGGAATAATTTGTTTGATGTGTTAATATTGATATTAAATTATCGTGCTCTAGTAGACGTAAACATTTTTGACTGCTTAATGTTGATGTTAACTCGTCAAACGCACGGAGAGAACTAAAATTTGTTTTTACTGCTCAACGATGTTTTTTTTTTTTTTTTTTTTTTTTTTTTTTTTTACTATTTTTGATTACTGTCATTTCCAAAAGAATAACTTGCAAATATTGACCAATTGAGTGCGTCCACGTTATACGCATACTTTTTCTCACCCCCCATTTTTCAATTCGCCATTTATTCTCTTTCCCTTCCTGAATCATATTAATCAAGATGTTGATGTCATTGATAAAACTGGAAATAATAAATAAAGTAAACAATAATTAAAATAGACAACTCATGCTTTAAAGCCCCTTCATCTCATAACGTTTTAAAACTAACATAAAAACTGTTCTCAAAATGAAAATCATAAAATTAGATTGCAATAATAAGTCTTATAATATCATAATGACTGTATTACCAATTTTTAATAAATAGTGTATGTGTATGTGGTTATGGCAAAGCCTCGAGGGCTATCTGCCTAAGAGGAGGGATGCCTTCGTGGAGGACTTTCTAAGGGAAACTGGCTCGTATACACGTTACACATGGGGAAAACCACGAAAACGCCAATGCAGCCAGCCCGTTCGCGGGTTTGAATAAATAAAAATAATTTCTTATTGTTTTCCAAAAAAAAGCCTTAAAACTTATGATTCCATTTTACATTGCTTTATAAATCATTGCCATTCCCAGATTCAAAACAAAGAATAATAAATTCAAACATTTTGATATTTTCCAGTGTTTTCAAATGTTTATTTACTTTCAGTTCTTATGTTAATAGTTTATATAAACTTTGTGATTGAACATGCCAGAAGAGCAAAAAGCTTAAGAGATTTAAAACCTATTTTACAACTCCCGGCAGTAACAGTTTTTACAAGTGAAGATATACGAAGAAAATCTGGGTTTCTTCATCCTACGGTTGATCAATTTACTTCCCCCCCCCCGAAAAAAAAAAGAACATCGAAAAAAGACTCAAATTCCTATTGCCTAAATTCACTTTAGTTGGACATACGTTTTCTAACTCGAAAGAAATTTGAAAGAAATGGGAATCGAAGATACTCCATAATATTAACTGATTTTTTATGCTAAAACTATTTTATTCGTTTTAAGATTTTACTACCATTTTGTAACTTTAATGAATAAAAATTTCTAATTATCTAAATAAATTTTTGATATAATATTCAACATTTTTAACAGGTTCCGGTAAGACGTATACAATGGTAGGAGAAGACGAAAATCCCGGAATCATGGTACGAGCTTTGAAAGATCTCTTTAAAGAAGTTAACACGAAGCACAAAATCTACGACGTCACCATGTCGTACCTTGAGGTAATGATTCTCTTTAACAGCTATGTGTAATTGCTGAAAAAATCCATATTTTTAGTAGATATCACAGCATGGTGTAAAACAAAATTTAAGCAAATACATCCTTTCTGAGAAAATGCATGAGTGCGTGACTTGCCACTTCAAGACTTTCAGACACATGCAATATGATAATTATTTTTCAGAAATATGTTGTAAAATACTTTTACAAGTTTCTTCAGAAATTATTATGGGATTTTCATTATATGATAGAAGTCGCATTATTGGTTTAAGATATTACCCATTGACAGAATTGTCATTTACAAGGGCTAGATTTAAATTTTACTAATTAAAAATTGTTGGTGATAGTACTGAATACACTTTACAAAATACTTTCGATTAGTTTTCTGTTAAATATTGTTTAGGGAAAGACAAACTGAACTTAGACATTGCTTTGAGAAAAAAGGCAAAACTAGCAAGATTTTTTTATAGAACTGTGCGAATTGCGAAGAAGATTCTAATGAACAATTTATGGGAATGATCTGAAATGCAAGTTTGTTATGATATATTGTTTGTCATGATGTATGTGATAATGCAGTGAAATAAAAGGCAAAGTTTGGTCAGATGAGGCATCGTTTGGTATTCGCTATCTATGTAGGAAATCCGTTATTTGAGTGTTTTTCATCTCAGAAGGCCTGGCACATTCTTTTCCATAAAAAGTTTTTTTTTTTTTTTTAAATTTTTCATGTGTCAATGTTTTGTTGGGCAATATTTCATGTGTCATGGTTTGAGAAACCTAATGCCTTAACAGGTATTCCTTTTAGCTGTTCGATCTTTTCAGTTTTATTTTGTGTTATTTCCAGTTATTTGCATAAAATTGTCATTAACATAGCCGGAATAGTTGAATACTTTTGTTCATGTTGTAATATCTATAAGGTAAAGACTTAATTTATTTTTCTAGTTTCAAAATGAAAGTTAATAATTTAAGCCCAGATGTTCAATTTAGTTAATAAGCCATCGTAATTTCAGTTAAGTCCATAAAGCACAAGTATAAGCTATCATATATACGCTATATTTGAAAAAATTTCTGCATTAATGGAAGTAGTCTAATATGAGAGTCAATGTATATTTAAGATATTATATCAGTTACAATGTTTTTTCATTTAATTTTTGAAGTGATTTCAATCAAAATGTTTCTTGTAGATCTATAATGAAAATATTCGTGATCTTCTAAATCCTTCACCAGCACATCTTGAATTAAGAGAAGATGCGAAAGGTAATCACCAGGTAGCAGGATTGTCTGAAATGGATATATCCTCGTCGGAGGAAGTAAGTATTTTAAAATGTTATTTATCTGCTTTTCTTAGAATGCAGTTTTTCATGTTATGTTCCTATTCGTATAATAAGATAGATGTGCGAATAGGAACTTCATTCAGGAAATTCAGAAACATTTTGTATTCTGTGCATTTCCTGAATGCAGGTTTTGAATTTAATTTCCATAATCATGAAACCTAAAGTTAAAAAAATTCAAAATTTCTCCAAGAAAATATAATTCTTCTCAGATGTTATCTCATCTTTTCAAATATGATGTTATAACTCAGTTTTGGCAGAAATTTCTATCTGCACCATTCTGATGGTGTAATATCGTACGTATTTCGGACACTGAGTGTAATTCTGATGGTGTAATCACGTACATATTTCGGACCAATGTGTGTAATGTTGATTTCTCATATGATTTAACTTTCAGTTTCTATAATACTAAATAGGTCACGAACACGTGTTGTATGGCTTCCGAAAATTCGAAGGTGAGGCTATTTATGAAGTTTTATTTCGTCCAAGTACATTACTGGCCGCTACGCCTGAAGCAGAGTATCTATCACATTTATCATCAGACGCATTTCTTCGTCACTCGACGTGAGTTCGTGGAGTAGAGCATCGACTGAAGCTCTGTGTTTTAAGCAAAAGGTTGAGTAGATAAAATTTAATATTATGTTGACTTTATGAGCAACCATATCTACGAAATTTAAATAATGTTTAAACTTTTTATGAAGCTATTTCATAACATATGTGAATATTAAAAGTCTGTCGAACTTTTGTAGATATTACAGGCCTTCATTTTTAAAGGATAATATGAATCATTTTTAAAGGATAATATTTAAATGTAAAATGTTTAGAAAAGCACAGATTTGCCTCCAAAATTGCAGCCTTCTTATGCTGTTCAACGCCGTGTAATATCTCATGCTCCATTCCTTCTATTTGGACAAAAACATTTGATATTTCGAAAGGTATTGCTCTTTCTCCTAGTCACTTATCTTATTATCACTTATCTGTGTCACATAGTGTTCCAAACGTTTATCGCTTTCAAAATAAGGGCATTTCGTTTCTTTTCATCTGTCTGCCATTCACTTTTACCTCTCTAATTGCTTTAAAGGGTATCTTTTTTGATTTCTTTTAAATAAGTCAATAAATTCAAGTCCTCAGTTATAAAATATGGAATAACACGCCTCTGTTGACAGGTTATTTATGAAATTACATGAACGTGGTTATGCATATATAAGACAAATACTTAAATATTTAAATTTCAGAATCATTAAATGTATATTTACTAAACTGTATAAAGTTATTTTTTAATATATTTTATCTTATTTATAGTAAGATTTAAACTTTAACACAAGTAATAAAAACGGAGAGATAATATCGAGCTGGTTTTTAAATAACTCTTATTTACTATTTCCTATTTTTGTAGTTGCTGTATATAGTTTTATCTAACTGTTAAATATAAATCTCAGTTACAAATAAATACAATAAGCTATATAATCTCAGTTATAGGTAACAAAATGGTTTAAACTTATTCAATAATTATTTTTTTTCAATTATTGACTATATCAATTCTTTCAGTGTGTGAAAAAGTTTTTCTTACTAACAATCAATATTAACTGTATAATTTTATAAACGATTATATTTTTAAAAAGTCTGCTAATCAATAAGTTCCTAAATTCATTTTATTAAAACTTCTAATTTTCACTGTACTTCTTAATAATCGCAGTTGTATTTCGTAATATGTTTAAAGTCACCTTTTATATTCATTCAACTTTAAATTATTGTTAATTTTTTAGAATCGTTTGGATATAAAACTATTGATTTTTAGAATATCATATGGAACTTGCCATACTTTAATCCACCTTGTTGGACATTTTCTTCTTTCTTAGCGCGTGCGTTCGTGGTGTTCGTAGTGCAAGTGCAGCTATTTTGAAAGCACTCAATTTTTGCGTTCTCCACTTTAAAAAGCGCAACAGCCTCTATAAAGCTTCAGCTCAAGTAAAACTTAGAGTTACTTAATCTTGAAGTAAAGAATTTTTTCAACTGGAGCTAACGATTTACTTGGATGGAATTAAAAATTAACTTTTATATCTGAAATTGTTCCCTCATTTCAAGAGGTACTGGATATAGTTAAACTTTCAGAGTATGAATTTGGAATTTCTTTGTGCCAGTTTTATATGGGGATTCATATTTTAGTCATTATAAAATATTCAGAAGTAATTTTTCATGAAAATTCATATTGGAAACCAAATGGAAAACCAATTAAAAAAAATTAAGATTTATCATTACTGTATACCTACTAGCCCTTTAACTGCTTAAGACGTGTATAAACGTTTTCAGAGTTTCCTTTAAAAATGCTTTAGACGTGTTTACACGAAATTCAAATCGCTCGAAAAATACTTAAGAAGCCCAAATTTCGCTAAAATTGCTTAAGACGTGTTTAGACGATGCGGTCTGGTCTTCTTTCCCCTACCTTTCTGCAGGCGGCTGTCAGTTGACACAAAGCTCTTAATAGGGTGTGAAGTCTGTTTGGAAAGAGCACTTTACGGAAGAGTTCTGAGAATGAAGAATCACTTGTCAGAGAGCAGGTGTGTGTTATCTTTCTGACGACTGCAAGCTTGTAAATGAAGATAAATTGTTTTACAACATTTTGCCTTGTGGTTATTTGCACAAATGAAAGTCAAACAGAATCGCTCGTTGTTACAATACATTACCGAAATTTAGCAGAAACAGGAAAAAATAATAATTGTAACGTAAGACGTACTTTTTTAATAAATCATATATTCTACAATCAAATATTTTATTTTTGCATTAAAAGTTGATTACAATTTCTGATTAATCAAGAATAGGAAAAAATATAAAATGCTGCAAACATCTATCTTGTTTGCCCTCGTATTTCAAGTGCCGGTGTTTTTTAATGGTATATTCTTTCCTTTTTACATTTTGAAATGTTAAAACTGTGCTTTCAGCATGCCTGATTTTTGTACTTCGTAATATGTGGCTGTGTGTTCCTTATAAAAGCGAACTGACATATAAAAATTTCTTGGATGTCGAAAGGAAGATATTCTACTCGAAAACTTCAATTAAATCGAATAAATTCATATGCCGCAGGAATTTCTAGAAATATTTGTTTTTAAAAAATTTTATTATTAAGATTTGAAATACAAATTAGTTTTAAAATCTAGGGGAAAAAATATGCATTTCTTGGAACTTTTTTGGAAAGAAATCTACCGGTATAAAATCGCTTAAAATTAATGGAGTGTAAGTTAAGTAAAACAGTTAATGTATGGAAGGGTTACATATACTGCGCACAAAAATTAGTCAGAGGAACAATTAGCTAACGAATTAAATTAATTACATTAAAAGAATTTCGTTAGAAAATAACCTCTCCAAATGTCAATGCTGATAGCAGCACTACGAATGAAAGTTAATCCGTTGGTACTCAATAATTGTGGCCTACCAGCAGCCGATCAGTAAACGTTGCTGAACACCGGCCTGAGGTTCGAATCCGCAAACGGGCTGGCTGCAAGGGCGTTTTCGTGATTTTCCCCACGTGTAACGTGTATACGAGCCAGTTTCCCTTAGAAAGTCCTCCACGAAGGCATCCCTCCTCTTAGGCAGATAGCTCTCGAGGCTTTGCCGTAATCACATAAAACCAAACCAAATTAAAAACCAATAACTATATGTTCGCGATTACTTTGCGATTTTTTATAAAGATAAAACAGAAGCTCGCAGCAACCTAGTAGAAACTGGCAGTTTGAATTCCGGCGAATGGCTGGCTATTTGGCAGTTTTCGTGGACTTTTTGCTGCCTATATTTAACGCGAATATAAGCCAATCTCATTTAAAAAGTCCTTCACGAAGACGTGCTCTGACTACGAGTCCTCGCTTGGGATTACGTTTGGACGTTGTTAGATTAATGACAAAGCTCGCAAAGGGCGATCTGTTTAAAGAGGGTATGCTTTCGTGAAAGACCTTCTAAGGGAAACTATCTCGTACCGGTGTTACATATAGGTAAAATTCACGAAAACGCAGATGTGGTGAGCCAGTTCACAGAGGTTTCAATCCAGGTCAAACTACCAAATAGTCCTCGTGTATTTTGTCATGAGCTAAATAAAATAAAATATCGCGAAGAAAGTCACTTTATGCTATTGAAATGGCAATAACTTTGTATTATACAGGCTATCATTTTGCCTTTGTTATGAGATTTTGATCTTTTCCGTTATCCAAGCTAGCCCACAATGGAATACTTGGTAGTTCTATCCGGGGTTCGAATCCCGGCGAAAGGGTAGCTACATGGATGCTTTCGTGTCTTTCTCATGTGTAACGTGTACACAAGCCGGCTCCCCTTAGAAAGTCCTCCACGAAGGCATCCTTCCCCTTATGTAAATAACTCTCGAGTGCTTATAATTCCAAACGTTACAGCATAACATGCTTTTTTTTTTTGTTTGAAATTTTTATAGCAATGTTCTTGTTTTCAGAATATGAAATGTCAATGAAACATTTTTAATAATGTCTCATTCTGTTTTGTTTTTTGTTTAATGAAAAAATGAATTTAAGTAACAAATTTCTTATGTTTAGAAAAATTTTACCATTATCGAAATGAGTTGCTGTCGAAGTGCATTTTCTTACTAGCGCATATATTTGTAAAGAGAAAATTGTTTCGCGCGTGTTATCCTATAACTGAAAAGATCAAGAGAAATTTCTATAGGGAAATAAAGTTATTAATTTTAAATAAAAAATAAAGTTATTTGTAAATTAAATGTGTTTTGAGGCAAGAGTAAAAATACGAGATATGCAATGAATTTAAAATAACGATGTATATAATAAGGATTTTGCCGACAGACATTCCCCGCGAAATTTGCTAAAATTTTCTATATGTAGAATTAATGTATATTCCGTTTAGTATTTGAATTCAGTGATATAACACTCCATTTTATCAGTGTAGTTATGTGTTATATCGAGATTTAGTTATGTCCGATACAAGCATTTTATTTTTGTTTTATAAAT